TAAGTATGTGACCAGCTTTACACTGAGGGTCACTGCTGGGAGCTGTTCCCACAAGTAAAGGCACTTATGGGATGAGGATTGCAATCCCCAGTACAAATAAATACTGTGTTTATGACTCTGCGTGCTTCTTAGCAATGTCAGTGGCTTCCTGACAGAGATAAAGCGCAGCTGGCAGGACTTCAGTGGTTAGATAACAGAGCAGAAACATTGTGTTTAATCTGCTTGTGGCTCCTGCTCTTCCTTGTGACGACATTCAGATAAATAGACACAGAACTCCACAGTGGAGCAAGTGCAAATAGGGAAGACATTTCACTGAGTGTAAGATCTTAAATGTCTATAAATAGTTTCCCTCTCACTTTCAGATTTGTGAAGCAGTCACAAAGGTTTTGTGGTCTCATTTTACGTCATCAGAGAATTGTTAAATTGATAGAACAAGTTATGCTCTGCTTTGCTTTTTAAGTTGCATCAAGRAAGTAGAAATAAGAGATTCCCAAAGCAAGCATGAGGTGGGGATAATGTGCTAGGCTTAAACTGCTCAAGAGCAACAAAGATTGTTTGGATTARTACCAAGGAATTAGTACCACAATCRTAAACTTGTGGAGYTGCAGARATGGAAGCTGTAATAAGAGTGTCTGGCAGGGGAAATGAAGCATTTCTGCAGTTTATTACTCAGTTCCTAGAGCTAAGGAACAAACTTAGGTTGCCCCGTGAGCCCATGAATGGAAGATGCTGTATGATCGTGTTTCCATGTCTTGTTGAAGGGGAGAACATCCCGTTTTGCTTAATTATTTTACAACAGCTGCTTGCTTAGTTTCATACATATTTGTTTCAGTAGGAAAGAAAACTTTTGTTCCAGCTTAAAAAGCAGTGTTTAATAGTTGTTTGCAATCTGACCTTCTKTGTTCAGGGATTTTGTCATTTACATGGCATTATATCCCTTTGATATGTGTTGGGGTTTGTTGTGGGATTTTAATGGTATTAAGGTCAGATATTCAATTGCAGCCTTAGGAAAAACAAACTCGTCTATGCCTATTTATGTAAACAAATCAGAAAGTAATTCCTCAAATTATTTATAGAAATCTCCAAATTTTTGTGTTAAGTGTGTGGAAGGTCTACATTATAAACTTTGTTTGAAGCCATGGTGTGGGTTACAAAAATCTGAAAGGAAAATATCTCTTATTTGAGATATACAGATAYGTATGAATTAATAAACTTAGAAAAAAGTGGCTTATTTAACATGAAGTTCTTCCACTGAAAACAATGTGTTGATAACAATTCAGGACATTTTGCATCTCTGGCTTGCAGATTTTTGTGGCTCTTGTTTCTGGCTGCATATGTCTTCTGTATTGGACAATAGTTGATGACTACTGAGTGAACTGTGATACAACTCTCAAATTATTGAGCTGGGAAATTTTTTAATGTATGACTTTATTTTTGCTTTCAGGTTCCCGTTGTTTGTAGGTGACACTCTTCAGTGGTCTTTGAAATAATGTTTTTTTTATTAGTCAACTTTTTCATGTTCTGACACACATTCTGAAATGTAATCGAAAATTATTTTTTGTGAATTGCTGCAAAGTATTTTTTTTATAGAAGGGTATAAAGATTGTTTTTGTTTGTTTAGGGGGATTTTTTTTTTTTTTAATTGGAAAGCTATGTGACAACAGTCTGAAATTTCAGGCAATGTTTTATATTCATTATTCTGTGACCCAGATCCATTCCTCTGCTCTGTTGTGGATGACTGGCAGTTCTTAATTTAATTTATCCATAATCTTTCACAAATCACAATTAAACTTGGTTTTAATATATTCTTTTGTAGTAAGATAAAATGTAGTAATATGTAATAAATAGATTAAAAAAATTTCATTAGATTCTACAGCTCAGAATAAGTTGAATCATTGTTAGAGAAATGTAGAAAATGTTTATGTATGCTGTTTCTTGAAAACAAAATTAACAGCCATCGTCCATCCTTTTTGCCACACAATCTGTTAGGAATTAGGACTTGCTGTGCTGTGTGCCACATCCAGTATTTTCCTCTCTGTATCACTTAAGGTCTGCATTTTTTCAATTTAGAAAATTTAGGTGTTTAGAAAGCTTTAATTGTAGAACATTTACAATTGTGTATGGAAAYGCTCACTACGTTATGCACGTGCCAATTTAGCTGCTTTTGTGCATCTTGGATATTTTTAAAAATCTAGTAAAGAACTGCAGGGCATACTAACCAAGGGTGAGGTTATTAACTAGTCCCTTTTATTTATCTATGCCAGGCTTAAAGATTGCTAGAGCATGAATCTAGCTTGGAGGCTTTTAACTAGTTTTTGTTTGGTTTGTTTCCATCATCTGYCTTCCAAGCAAGAAAACTAGGGCATCAGTTCCTTTCAGAAAGGGAACATTATGACTGGATTAAAAAATATTATATGTGCTCTAGCCTTTTRTCAGTTTCTTCAGGAACTCAGAAACTTGTGTTTATATTGACTGAAGCAAAGGGCTTTTAAAAGGAATAGATGAGAATATGAATCTGTAGTAGTTGAAGAAGATTGTATTACTGACTGTTCTTCTRTAACACCCTCTAATGTTGTCACATGAAAACACAGCTAGTCTGATTTCCTCATTTCCAGTGTTTTAAGAAATAGATTTCTTTTGTACACTGTTGTCAGTAAAATCTGTTTTCATGTTTGACTGTACCTGTGTCATCTAATAGCTGTTATTCTCCAGTCCTATTTAATTTGCTGTACATTCATCTTAAAACTTCCTGCAGCTTAAATATCACATCTGTGTTTTTAAATTTTCCAACTGCCTTTGTAATGAAATGTCACCATGCAATTATGTCAATATTTCAATGGTCTCTCATAGTMACAAAACTTTGCAGACACTTAAAAGATTTTAAGCTAGGAAGCAGTTCATTGCAATATGAATACTATGAATATGCATAAATGTAGACCTTTTTGACAGCCACAGGGAGAGTGACAGTTTTCCTTGTGTATTTTTCAGTCTTTGATAGGACTTTTCCTTTTGAGAAAAGCTTTCTCTAAGTTTTCACTAGGACGCCCATACTTGTAACTTGGTACAGCACAAAAAAAAGTCAGTGTATGGTGTTAACCACTCTTAACAGTAAACAAGTTGATKTTTAAATGTCTTGAGGCTGGACGGAAGCACAGAAGGAAACCGATTGCAGCTAGGTTACATGGAAAAAGGTAACAATGCAGGATGTAAAGCATGAGGTTTCTCAAGCACATACAGAACAGACAAATTGTGTTAACATCCTTTGATAATGGGTGTTTAAAAATAGAAAACAAATTATGGAAGTRCATGCTGCAGACAAGGCAGAGATATCTCCGGGCAAGTAGGAGTGTGTGGAAGACTATAGGACATATATAGGAGATGGAAGGTGGAGACAGGTAGGAACAGTGGAAGCAGATGGCTTACACACAGCATTTCAAACAGAGGCTCCCACATCTAGGAAAAAGAAATGAGTAGAGAAACTTGCAACTCCATTGTGGCTGGAAGTGSATTTGGGAAGAGAGAAGGCAAGGGTATGTTGCCTTAGAATATAGGAAGGCCAATGCTGGTCTGTGTCAGTACCTTRACTGAGGGTGTTTTTCATTCAGTTACCTGTTTATTCAGTGGTGGAAATGAAAAGACAAGCAACTGTGTCCTTGTCAGAATTCCTTATTAATTGTAAAGATAAGAAAACTAAAGTTTAGTTCAYGGATTGTATTATTTTCTAACTCTCCAGTCTTGAAGCATGTCTTATTTTTCCTGTGGGAAGCTGTAGATCTCACCAGACAGTGGTGGTGCCAMGGCTGTGGCCTCCTTTGCCCTGAGTCTGACCTCCATGGTGCTGGTTCTGCCTCAGCTGCTCMTATGCAAAATAAAGATGCTAACATCCAGCCCCTTAAAGTAACTTGAGATAGACAAGTGCTGTCTCTTCAATTTCCCTTGCCATGCTGTTTATGACTTAAGCTGCCTCTATATTTCTTAAAGAAAGTTTGAACAAGGCATAGCATTAATGTTTTCAGGGAGTAGTTTGGAGAAAAAAAATTAAATAATATTTTCGTGTAAAGTGATTACACGTCCTGCGTAGTTTCTATTCAATAGGCATTAAAGTGCTAAACTCAAGTTGTTTCACGTCAGCAAAGGGTAGAGACTCWCTACCTGATCCACAGCAGAGGTGTCTCAGTGCAGGACCAGGGTAGACATGTACAGGGAAAAAAATGTGGAGACCTGACACCACTATGTAGTGAAGCACCTTTGTCTGCTTGGAGTGGAGTGATTTAGGAAAATAGCTCTAGCCCYTTGCTAATATTGACACGAATCACAATTCAGAAAAAAAACCCAACATGAACTTTTACATTAGCTGGATCAGAAGAAATGTGAGAATTCATGTAGGATCTCCATATTAGGCAGTAGATAAAGGAGAACAGAAGCACACTATTGAGATGAAAAAARCCAGAAAACTGGAATGTGATTGTTAGCTAAATGTCATGTGTAACTGTAAAACTTGGTTAGGCCATATTCACCAAGTGACAATGCAAAGATGAAAACCTCTCTTTCTGTCATTTGGGCATTTATTCCTCGTACTGTAGCACTGACTTAATTAAGGGAAGTAAGGATCAGATCTCTCTTGCTGAGGGCACCATATAAAGATACAGTAGATACTTACTGTCAGATCTGCTTGCAAATTTGGGGGATACAAAAAACCACTATTTTGAAATTCTATGTGTAAATGAGTATCTGTTGTGCCAGTATAGCATCTGTGGGAATATGTTTGCTAGTAATGTAGTRAGTACTATAAATCTGTAGCTATTAGAGCATTATGAGTTTTCCTGAGGTAGGAGTAGTAACAGTATTTTCCTAACCAATAAATCTGTGACTGTGCAGGGAGGGTACTGATCATTAGTCTCCTGCATCTTTTAGAGAAGATAAATGGTTAAATCCTTTTCCTCATTTGAATAACAACAAATTTCATGTGCCATTTTCATTGACTGTTTGAGTAGATTTTATAGACAGCAAATTCAGAATACTCAACGCATTGTATCATTTCTTTATCTTTTTACAGAGGGAAACCAAAGGTCAGTTTCTTATAGATCACATCTGCAACTATTACAGCTTGCTGGAAAAAGACTATTTTGGCATTCGATATGTTGACCCTGAGAAACAGAGGGTATGTATTTCATATCTGACTACATTTGCTTTTAAGTAAAGCTGAATTGATTTTTTTTTCAAWGAGCATGTGAGTTCTAATGCGAAGTTATGTACCTCTGAGGATTTGTACTCTGTTCATGATCTGWACACGTTTCTAAAGTGGCATTATTAAATTAATTTTCTCCTCAKTTCATGTATTTAGTTTCAGGTAAATTGATATATTTTGATTTGTGTAGTTCTTCTGTGCACTTAAAGTAGAAAAGAATCTATAACTGTGACTCAGACTCAGCGCAGAGTAGCTCTAGGCTCTGACAGCGCTCTGTAATTTGGGATTTTTAGTTTTCTCTTAGAGTATGCTTCCTGTAATATGTAAGTAGAAATCCTATTAAGTTTACCAGCTAAAAGCAGTCATTCTGTCTCACTCATCAGAGTGTACAGGGACTTAAAACCTGTAACACAGAAAACAGGTATGATTTGTCAGGTTGTGAGGGTTCTTCAGGTTGGTTCTCCCTATAAGCATCTTTGCATCTGTGCAATAAGATTTTCAGGCCTGTGCTCTAGGAATTTGYGTGTACAGTAATTATTCATCTTTCCKAGGGGTTAGGTGGTTCTGCTGGTTGCATTTTATAGCTGATTTGCTTGTGCTAACCTGGCACTAGTGCTGACTGGCTTCAGATGATTTTTTAATGTGTAAGAGTGGGAAAAAGTGGTCAACACAGGAAGTAAAAGTCCTCAGACATTGAAATTCAGAACTGCTTCATTTTGTGATCTTGCTGGTCTCATGATTAGACAGAGATATGACTTTAAATGTCTTAGGTGCATATGATGGCATTTAATGTCTGGAAACAATAATCAGTTTGAAGCTGCTATAACTGAAGAGGAAAATAACCATTTGGCTGGATATCTCTTGCTACGCCATAATTAGTTCAAAAATCACTGGAATTGGGTTATCAGCAGCAGCTCAACCTCGTAGAATTGCGACAAATTTGCAAAGCTGCACCGAATTGTTTCCATTGCATTCCCATTTTAAAGTGAAGATAATAAGCAGTTATTCTGACCAGTGTTCTTAATTCTTCACAATCACAAAAATTATAGAAGTGTTCACCTARTTGGAATTGATAGAAAAATTAGGTGGAGAACTAGATTGGCCTATAATTAAGTAAGACTTAATAAACACTTACTTCTGTTGGGCCTTTCTCTGACAGTCACTTAAAAAAAAGTTACAGAAMAATTATTTTACTTAATGGAAGTAAAGAGGTTTTTTAAAACAAAAGCCTTATTTTTTTTTGTCAAAATACTTTAAAACAGTGATACTTCAGAAAAAACTCTAAAAACCCAAACCCATTGTGATGCCTATTGTATCATACCTCATGTGGTTCCCATTTTTCAAGGAGCTCTTAGCTAAGTTAACTAAATTTGCTGCACTGTCTTGGCTGTGCAGTTGCTGTTTTACAWCTTGTAATAAAGCCAATTTAGTACTTAGTTTATGGAAGGTTATACAGAGGCTGAAGTTTTCTTTTGGTTAGCAGCAAAAGACAATTTGAGAAAAAAAAATATTATGTTCTTGCCTAAAAATCTTGTGTTTTCATTTCCTTTTATATCCCACAACTAAGAATGCTGTMGCCATCCTGTGTAGTGTGGTCGCTTGTATCAAGTTGGATTTTGTTAAACAGACTTACCCAACTTACATTTTCCATACATACATTTTTAAGCACTGATTTACAATTGCACTCATGTTTTCAAGCATATGGATAACTTCTCTAATTGAGTACTATTTCTTTATTTTAAATTCTCTCATGAATTAGGACATGATTTAGGAGAGACACTTCTTTGTACAGATTTAAATGCTCTGTTGATGAGTTGACAGCAATGTACATTCTTCTCTTATGTTGCAATTCATCATATTTTTATATTCAGTATTTTCTGTTGTCTTCTTCCAGGAAGCCAAAGAATTATTTCTGCCCCCCAGCAATGAGGTGAGGTGGTATACAGTAAACTGGATGCACCTATACAGCTCCAGGCTCTGCCACCTCATGATTGCTGYGAAAGTTGATTCTGTCCTGGCCAAAACCAGGAGAGCTCAGTAGAAAACGAGACTAAATTATGATTTTGAATTTATGTGATAGCTTTTCCCACTGTTTTGTGTTTTAGCAGTTGTGAGCTTAGGTGCCTGAAATTCAGCTTAACAAACCCCCCCAGCAGTTGCCCATGAATGTGGATCTAGAAATAAGCAATGGCAGATATAAGATGTGGTGGGGTCACAGGAGAAATATTGTGTGATTGCAGCCACTGTACAGACAAGAGCACTTTTAGTTCTGTAATAGAAGTGTTCAAAGCTCCATGGAATAAGAGTACTTACAGTTTTGTGAAAAAATGTTYGAAGTCATGATGAGGTTCTTACAGGTCCAACCAAGGAGAAAGGGAGACACATTTTGTGCAGTCCTTTTTTTAGGGATTGGTGAGATGTGTTGCAAAACACAAACAGTACCTCAGTAAAGACTGAAAGGAGGAATCCAGAAAGGGCTTTGTTCTGAAGTTAAACTTGGTGGTTTAAGTGAGCACAATTACTTTGAAGGAAAGCCATAGTTCATAATATGCCAGTTGACAGTGTGTGTGACAAGGTACTTCAGTGCCCCAAAGCAAATAAAATGACGTTTGTTCATTTATAATGAATGAAATGAATATTGACTAGTCTGGTTTTAGTGCATGTGGTTATGGTAAAAGGCATGTTTGCAGGAAGGAATTAATGTCATTACATTCTAATGAGACCTCAGCTGTTCCGTTCTAGATATCTGTATTCAAGAAAGATCAATTTAACTGAAGAAAGAAAGAGGAAAGAAAGAAAGTTAGAAACATAAAGAGAATGGAGAGTTTGTTTATGAGATTATATTAAGAAAGTTATTACTTAATGCAGTAAAGTGTGCACAGACTCATTGATGTACACACACACACACACACACACACACACATTTATATATATAAAATATGCAGATTTAGTCCTGCTGGCATTTAGTTTAGCAGTAATGCTTCCCTCTGTCTTAATGCATGATTTTTTCTTGTGTGAAAGTTCCAGAGTTGCTCTGAAACCTAATTTTCAGTCCTTTTGTTTTGTAATCTMTTGAGTGAGCTCAAACAGGCAAAAAACAGCTTGAATGAATCCAAAATGTCTTCTAAATGTAGAGTATGCTACCAAAAAGTAGCATTTTGACTCAGGAGTATTGAAGWGTTTGACTGAATATGAGAATTAGAAACATTAATTGTTTCGGTATTTCAGTTGCTTAAAATTAAATGTTGCAAGATTTCTGTTTAAAACATTCAGAATTTCTGACTGTAAAAAATGTAGGCAATTTTSCTCTATCTCTGGAGGTGTTCAAGAGGACTCTGGATCCATTGATGGGTGATGTTTAGTGTTTTAGGCGTTACAGCAGTAGTGCTGGGTGAACCATTGGGCAGGTTGATGTTAAAGGCATCTTCCAGCCTGGATGGTTTTATGATTCTAGGTAGTTGTCAAATGTTATGTTCTTGTATAGTTTCATGAAGATAAGCTGCCACATCAGTGGAGAGAATCCTGTTATTCTTTGTACTGAGGGCAAAGGGCAAGCCCAACCCAGGCAATCTGGAGAGAGTAGACAGGGATACACTGTTAGAATGCAGAAACCATAATTTGGAGTTTGTTCTTTTTCTCAATTTTAAATTGGAAACATGCTTGGGTGAGCTGTTACCGATTCTCCTACTCAAGGAACTACCTCCTGGTACCTTTTCATATTCTAGATACTATATTGAGGCCAATTGTCACACTCTCCCACTTGAGGAAATGCAAAAAGGCTAATTCTGTGCCAGATGCCCTGGGCTGACTAAGCAGCTTTTTTGTATTTTTTGGACTTGTATGAGATGAGACTAGAATGATGTAGTGCAGCTGCWGTTCAGCATCTCTAGAGTGGATTTCTTCTTGAAAGAGGCCATTGGTCTTGAGGGCAAGGGAAGACTGAACAGAAGGAAGATGCTAGTGTGGTGAAATACAGATTTTGAGTCCRTTTAGGAGGGACCCTGAGCAATGATTTAAAGTTGGAAATATTTATTTCTTTTTTTTTTTACTCCCAGTGGATCAGAACACATGCTTTTGATTTTGTTTAGGAATGTGAAAACATGAAATCGTAGTTAGACAGAAATACCTTGGAGTTACCGCTGGGGTAGGTTGGAAGTGTCATGAAAAGGCTTTGTAGGACCCTGGAGCAATTGTGAATTCTCACCTGTCATCGTGGAAATGTTTGAGATCATAATCACCCTTAAGAATGAAGATGTTCTGTCATGTGGGTGTGCTGCAGGGCTGTCTGGGAGCAGCGCAGCAGCGTGGTGGTTTTAGCTCTGTGTTTGTGTGTCTGGCAGTATGAAAACAGAGACTGCAAATCATTGAAACTACTCTATGAGTGCACTCTCTCTGTGCAGCTGATCTCAAGTGGTGGCTTTGAGTACACTGGGATTTTCTGAGTTTCCGAGAGCRCAGAGCCTGGCTTGCTGCTTTGGTAGAAAGATGATGCTGCACACTATGGATTTGTTGGCTTGCCTGCCAATTTCCCCTTAAAGAACTGATGCAGGTACAATTCTCATTTTGCTTTCAAGCTTAAATATGATGAAAACTGGCTGGCAATTCTACACAGAGATAGGTKTTTTAGTCAGATTGCATGTATATTTCACAAGTAAGGGTGCTGTGGAGACGCATTTGTATTCTAGAATATGTCACTTATGATTGACCTGGGCAAAATATTTGTTTAATCTTACAACCTCAGTAGTTCAGTATTGTACCAATATTTTCTAGGTAAGGGAATTGTAACCTCTGGTCTGTCAGCAATGAATTTCTTTATCGTGAGGGAGTGGTTCTGGTTTTAATGGGAGCTATAGACAAAATGTACAGCAGTTCCTCATCAGAGAGGCCTTTGAAAAGGGTCAGCAAGTCTTGSGTGCAGCTGTTCTCTGTTTTAGCAGCAGCAGCTATTTAGTACATCCTCTTAAAAATGTGCA